CAGTATGAAATCTGTCAATAGGTTTGCGTACTCAAGACTCAGGTCTGCCTTCAGACTCAGTCAAACACGTGCTGTTGTTACCAGAAACAACCAGAGAAAAAAACAAACAAACCGTTCTTTGCAGGGAATGTAAAATGGACATTCCTTAGACAACAGTGTACAAAGGCAGTTTGCTTTTGTAATACCACTCTCAGAACAGGATGGAGTTCAGAAACAAAAAGACCTGTTTGATTGAAGCTGAGTGCGTTTCGGATCCACCTTTGCTATAGGAAAGGTCCCACTGTGGCTGCTCCTCTGCATCTGTGCCAAACAGCACTTCATGTCACAGGGAGGTCTACTGATTTCAGTGAAGTTACTGCCAGAATAAAGTATCACTCCACTCAGGGGAATGCACTCAAATCTAATTTTCCTATCAAGCTGCTAACATATACTGGAGCTCTTGATCTTTCCGTAATGTAACCCATTAGTGACTTAATTTTTCTCTTCCTCTATTCCACATTTTGTCTTCTATGCAGTAGGCACAAAAATACAAAATTATGTCAGCCTAGAACAAAGCATTTCCTTAGAAGTATATTTAAAAGAAAATTATTTCCAGGCAACTGTCACATACGGCAGCTTTCCTATCAAGCCAAATTTCACAAGAATTCCTGCTAACGATGCATATTTATTCTACTTTCCTGTCTTTTTTGAATGACAAATACTCACTCCTCCTTTTCTAGGCATACTCATTAATCTGTTTGTCAACAAATTAAATGCTATTATCTTGCCAATGCTATTGTTTCCAACTGCCTAAGTGCTCTGGTGCCTCCCCATGCACTCTGAACACGAGGATGCTGAATGCTCATTAATACCGACAGTTTGTATTCCAAACAAGACATAAAACTGAGCCAAGAAAAGATTTGTGACGTGGCAGCTGTGGGTGCCCACTGCTGTGAGCTTTTAGGAGATGCCCTAGAATGGTTTGGAGGAAAAGGTACTTTGTTTAGACAGTCCAGAATGCTAAAAGGAGTGGGATTTGCCATTTATCCAGCCCAAGAAGTTTGGACCTCTCTCATACTCTGCTCTGGTGAGACCCCACCTGGAGTACTGCATCCAGCTCTGGAGTCCTCAGCACAGGAAAGACATGGACTTGTTGGAGCAGGTCCAGAGGAGGGCTACAAAAATGATCAGAAGGCTGGAGCACCTCTCCTGTGAAGAAAGGCTGAGAGAGTTGGGATAGTTCAGCCTGGAGAAGAGAAGGCTCTGGGGAGACCTTATAGCAGCCTTCCAGTACTTAAAGGGGGCTTATAAGAAAGATGGGGACAGACTTTTTAAATAGGGCCTGTTGCGATAGGACAAGAGGTAATGGTTTTAAACTAAAAGAGTGTAGATTTAGACTAGAGGAAGGAATAGGAAGAAATTTTTTGCAATGAAGGTGGTGAAACACAGGAACAGGTTGCCCAGAGAGGTGGTAGATGCCCCATCCCTTGCCCCATTCAAGGTCAGGCTGGATGGGGCTCTGAGCAACCTGATTGAGTTCAAGACGTCCCTGCTCATTGCAAGGGGGGTTGGACTCCATGACCTTTAAAGGTGCCTTCCAACCCAAACTATTCTATGATTCTATGCTGAGGAGAGACTTAAACGCTGATCTGCCCATTTGGATCACTGCTTCACCTGCTAGGGTAGGACAAATAACCCTCATGGCTACTACTGAGCCTGTAGTGGCTGGAAATACAGTTTGGAGACACCCTGGCTGTGGCTGAGGTTCTGGATCAGAGTCAGCCTCAAGCCTCTCTGTGAATCCCCATGTAGGCCAAGGCAGAGATCAAGACTTGTAACAGAGTGTGAAAGTCAAACAGTGAGGCGTTGTGCGAGTTTAAGCACTGCCAGAGTCAGCTGGTATCTGAGCAGGGTTCAAGGATGTTAATTTTGGATTTCAACACTGAAATTCCACCTATACCCTGCTTCAGCTTCATGCCTTTCTGGATCTATTCCCCTGTGCCCTCATCACAGCCAGGTCAATCTGATGAACTGCTCAGTGATTCAGCCTGCACTAACTTTAAGAGCTAAGTGCTTTTGCCACCTTTCAGGAGACAATCCTGAAATCAGCACTGCTTCACCACCTCAAATTAAGGCTTTGGTGACTGAAGTTTTTCTTAAGTACTTCACTAATTCTCTGTTCCACACTAGCTGCTGAGATCCGATGGCAAATCTTTTTTATGGCTGGCTTTTCTTGGTTATCAACTTTAACCTCAGGAAAGACTCAACAGTTCTAGAGTCAGGTACAGTAAGAGAAGACTTGGGATGCAAGTTGAAGTCATGTATTAAATAAGATAAAAGTTAAATTGTGAAAATGTGTACAACAAACAACTGGAAAGTCAGCTTTCATGTACTATTACCAGTTTGATACTCTTTGCCCTTTGGCTGCATACTCACTAACGGTGCCACTGCAGCTGCACGCTGTAAAAAAATTCACTGCAGTTCTCAAAAGTTGCTTTGCCTTGCTGTCTTCATTATTTAAAATGAAAAAAAAAAAATTAAAAGGAAAAAGGCCTTAGGGAAGTAAGGGAAGCTCAGCAGTTTTCTCAGGAACATCAAAACTAACATTTCTTCAATATCCTCATACATTTTATTCTTTACCTGCCTTGGCTGGCTGGCTGGCTATTTCACACAATAATTATTTTCACTATGGAAAAGAAGTGCTTCTAGCTGTGTGCCATGTGTTCTGTTTTTCTGAATGTTCCTGGCATTGTCCCCTGGCCTATCATTATTATTAACTTCGTGTTCCATTAATTTTACTCATCTTCCCACTAGCCAAGAAACCTTCAGCACCCACGGAAGAATTAGAAGATGCCAGCCTGCCAGCATCTGAAGACAGTCCGCAAGCCTTACTTGTATCTGAATCCACAGATTCCCCCCAGAAACAGACAGAAAGAAACCCAGCACAGCTCCCCAGCCCTCCATTGCTCCCAGCTCCACCACCTAAGGCAATCTCCAAAATCACAAAGAGCATAACAGGTCAGTCATTACTGGTCAGTAAAGACTTTCCCATCCCTTACCTGTTGTTTGCCTACTCAGCACAGTATATAATTTTTTTTCTTAGATCCTTTTTTAAGCCTATTGGTGCAAACTGCTGTGAATCAGGCTAATTATATTGAGTTAACAGAATGCTAATGTTTCCTATGAACTGAGTGGTCCGGTTGCCTGATAACAATGCACTGATCTTTGTACTTCACATATTTAATTGAATCTCTCAGGGGATTATTTGTTGTGAGTCTATCGCACTAAACATACGTAAAACAAATCAAGCCATTGCAAACATCTGCTGAATCAGGTGCTCATATCAATATGACATAAAAGCACAAGGAAGATTTAAATGTTTTCATTACCGGACTCCTGTTGGATAACAGCACAACAGTGAAAATCAAGTTCAAGTCAATAGGTTCTGCAGAGGTTTCCATCTGAAGGGTTTGCTCTCTAGGGTAGGTCTAAACTAGAGCTATGAAATCTGGTCTAGTTACACAGAACACACATAAGTGGTACACCTGGCTCCCACAAAGCAATCCTCTGTGCCAGACTTCAATGAACATTTCAAGAGCAATTCCTCTGGGCCTGATTTTCTAATGTATTGCCAATGTTGTTACATTTTCCAACATTCTGGCACTGCAGAAAGGGTGTTAAAGTGAGTATGATTCTAGTTTGTTCCAATTTTAGGGCCCCTACATATGGTAAAAGCAGTTAAAAGGGTCTTACTGCAAATTAGAATCAAGTCCTGACATCTAAATGTCAGACCTGTTGGATATTTAGACTTTTAAATGACACCCATTATCTCAGCCCTGATTTGCATCCACACTCATCTACTGGCACAATGAATAGGGTTTTCAAAGTCACCAGGAAACAAAATATCAGAGGGGCATTGTGATCTGACCACTGGGGTTCATAGAAAATATTGAAGTTTTCAGTCTTTTTGAGGAAAATGACAAGTATTTGTTTCTCATGGAAAATACCCATATTTTGTCCATGCTTAAAAGCCATAAGAGTTTAAGTGGGAGCTGGATTCAAAATGGTATCATAATGCTCCTTGGGAGCTGTTCAGATTGCTTCAACATTCTGTGCTATGGGTCAGGCTCTAGCCTGCCCCTTCCACCTTGCAACGTGAACAGGCACAACCAGGACAGCCCTTTGACTTTGCTCAGCTGATGAGAAGGCCATGCTCTGCATGAGATGTAGGCTATTTGGAAAACCTGACCCATGGAGGGTAATGAGATTACAGCTCCACCAGGCACTTCACAGCATTTTGAGTCTAGCTATTTTGCTGCTTAACCAAAGCATTTCCTGTAACATCTAAGATATTCTGAGTTTTGGTATTTCATTCTCATCTAAATTTTCCACAAAGAACAACTCTCAGTTTTCTCAATGACTCCAATAACTATGGACCCTTTTTCAATAGAGATTATACATTTGTTTATTTTTGTGTGGATGTGGAGGTAGTGGTAAGTTAAGACTAAACAAATACTGTCAATGAGTGAAAGGGAATACAAATGTATGGGGAGAGAGAAAGAGCAGTTATGAAAGAAAAGAAAGATGAAGAGGTTGAAAAGCTCTTGTGTTTAGTTCCCCCCCCTTAACAATGTTAGAGATGCTGTTAGCAGAGGAGCGAGGAATAAGCCAAGCACCGATTAATCACAGAGAGAGGGGGAACAGGGCAAGGTGCCAAGACATCACTTTGCAAGATTATTCACTGAACAGCTGTCATTAGGACAAATAAGGTGTGATCTAAGGAAACTCTCAACTCTCAATATTGGCCCAAGCTGCAATGAGGACAAAATTAGCCCTTGACCTGTTCCAGGAACAAGCAGGTATAAAGATAAAACAAAGTCTCCTCCCTTCCTGCTTTAGGATTGAGCTGAACCCAGGGTTCTTGCTCTGAGAAAACACGAACACCCTCTCTCACTGTGCAGCAGTATAAAGTGACTTAAGAGGTGGTTTTTTCATCCCCTGAGGCCATGATTCAATGGGTAACAATTGATCATAAATGTCCTCTGTGCACCTCTATAGCAGCACATAACCAAAATCCCCTTAAGTGCTGAAAAAACATCTTTGCTTAGCAGAGGTTGGCTGTCTCCTGGCCGCAGCAACCATCCTGATCAGCGCAGGAGGAGCTCCGGGGTGGGAAGGTGTCTCATTGCCAAGACACTGCACATTGGGTACCTAGACACTTGGAGAAATACCCTTGCCCTTTCAGATATTTCAGATTTTAAATAGAGTAACTTTTGGACTGGCTTGACCCCTGTCTTCTGGATGCATAGAGAGATGAATGAAGCTGTGGCCATTGGTTAGGGTTCTGGGTTGGAAGGGGAGAAGTGTGCAAAAACACCTTCCGAAAATGGAAAAAAAAAAAAAAAAAAAAAAAAAAAGTCGGACCTTTCTTAGGATGAGAGAGATTTTATTGTGGATGCAACTGTCCTCATTGAAGGATGCTCTCTCTCCTCCTCATCCCACAAATGGGAAAAAGAGACCAGACTTAGTGCTGTCACGATTTTTGATATTTGATTTTGATTATGGCTACAGAGCTCTTCTGCCTACTCGTGCTTTTACTGTTGTCCTTGGTAATTCTGCCATCCAGCCTCCAGATGCCCAACTCCGTTCCCAGCGCTACCCTTACAGAGCTGTACCAGATTTCCAGCATTGAACTTAAGAAAAGGGATGTAGTTGGTAACCATTATGCAGGATGCTGGGTCTGAGAGGAAATACTTAATAACTGAGGTTAATATTCAAACCTACTTTTGTCCTCTCCAGTTTTCTAGTAAGTTACCCTGTGTCGTGGCTTAGCCCCAGCCAGCAACTCAGCACCACGCATCCTCTCGCTCACTCCCCCTGCCCTGGTGGGATGGGGGGGAGAAT